CTCCAGAAAAATCAGCCAAGGCTGGGGGCCTCCCGTGTGTCCTGTGTTGTCCTCATCAACCTCATGAGGATGTGACCTGGGGATCAGAGAGAGTCTCCACTCTTCTCACAGCACTGTGACGGGCACAAGGGGCACAGAGCCGTGAGGAAACTCTCTGTGCCTTCTCAGACACCAAGAGAAACCTCCATTTCTTTTTTTTGTTATTTAAAGATTGGTACCTGAGCTAACAACTGTTGCCAATCTTCCTTCTTTCTTTTTTTCTGCTTTTCCTTCCCAAATCCCCCCAGTACATAGTTGTATATTTTACTTGTGGGTCCTTCTTGTTGTGGCATGTGGTACACCCCTCAACATGGCCTGATGAGTGGTGCCACATCCGCGCCCAGGATTTGAACTGGTAAAACCCTGGGCTGCTGAAGTGGGGTGCACAAACTTAGCCACTCGGCCACCGGGCCGGCCCCCTCCATTTCTTCTATCACCTAGCCATATTTTATTTAACATTGTCCTTTGAAATGATTTCTATTTTCTTTCACGTACTTGTATGAAAAGTCTTTCTCTCTACTGAAAGTGAGATCCGTCTTATTCCAGACATAGAAGATCACCGGAGAATCATACACATTTCACTGAGGGGTCCCTTTCTTGCTGCCCACGGTGGGGCTGGCAGCTGGCTCTTAAAGGTCCAGCAGGAGAGAGTGCTGTAGACAGACCCAGACCAAAGGCTGCTTGTCATGGACCTTCTCTTTCCCCTGGGATGCTGAGTGGATCAGTTCGCAGCTGTGTGTCTTTGGGCGGGTCACTTAGATTCCCTGTGCTGCGTTGTCCTAGGGTAAAAACGGCTCATGCATAAAAGGGTTTTTCTTTCCGGTTGTTGTGAGTGTGCAAATCACAAGTGATGGAAACACGGCCTGGCACACGCTAAATGCCCTGGAGCTCTTAGGGATGGTGGATGGGAAACAATCCCTTTTCTTGCTGTGTTATCGGAGTTGTCTCTCACTTACCACGACCCCTCCTTTGGGGGGGTCCCACGCTTTGGGTACCGTCTGGAGTGGGGAGTACTGGCAGGCTATGGGGAGCACTGGATAGTTTTATAGAAAGGACTTGGACACATGTGCCCATATATCCCCTCAGGTGGGGCCAGGAAGGAAGGAAGGACGCCGAGGTCTGTGTCCATCCTGTTGTAGTGGACTAGAGAAAAGGGGCTCTAGGTCCGAAGTGGGGACAGGCAGAAGAAAGGGGTGGTGGGAGGAAAAGGTCACATTGTAGGCTGTTCCTCTGCACACGACTTCCTCGTGTTCCTCTCTTGCTCCAGCCAAGTCAAGGACGAGAGTGCTGAGCTGGGTTGCACACGGACTCCAGAAAAGGGCGAACTTGAGGACAATCGCGGTGGAGCTGGGGCAGAAGGCGAGGACTCAGTGTCTGAGTTCTAGGAACGTTCAGGGGCAGGAATCTCTGCCACCTCCGAAAAATTGGGAAGGGGTGTAGGGAAGGCTGAGACACGAGCCCCTCCGCGCGACCAGGTGCCAGGGCGCGGCCCCGCGATGCGCACCCGGCCCACGTGCGCTCGCGGCATCCTGCGCCCGGCCCGGTGCGCACAGCCCAGCCGAGGGCGCTGAGGCCGCGCTGTCGCCACCTGGCGGGGAGCAAGGACGGGGCGGGGCCTTTGCGCCCGGGCCGCCGCCTCTGGCTGGAAAGGGAGCAGGCGGGCTTCTAGGCTGTACCACGCCTTCCAGGAGCCCAAGGGAATCTTTGTCACTAGCTCTGGGCCTTAGGATGCCCCTTTCTCAGCCAGGGGACAATGTCCCTAAGGTTAGAGGAGAGAGTGATTTGAGTTTGAACTGAAGTGCACTCCTTCAGTTTGTGTGTCTTCTGCTTTCACTCTGACCTGGCGCGTGAATCGCCCTTTAGAGCATTTCTTGTCTTCCTAGCAGCTTCCATGTCAGAGGGGAGAGGCCTGAGGCTCAAGGCTGTCCTGCTCCACCTCACCCAGGTGCTCAGGGGGCTTCAGGGCCCCGCCCCACTGCTCTGTCCAGGTCTCTGTGGTGGGAAGGAAGCGCCTGTGTCTGTGCTGGTTGGAGGCAGGGGACATGGCCTCTGCTGGGCTCAGCCATGAGGCCCTCTGGGGTCAACACAGGAGAGCATCTGGCTGTCCTGGCCTGTGGGGAGAGGCCGTGGGTGACTTCCACCTGCCCTGAGTGGGACAGGAGCTCCCCCGTGTGGCCCCGGCCCTGAGCAGGAAGCATGTGTGGACCCACTGCTGTGTCTGCTGCATCAGCTCCTGACTCCCTGCCTGGCTTTCCTTCTGGGCAGGTGGCTCCTGCACCTGCGCTGGCTCCTGCAAATGCAAAGAGTGCAGATGCACCTCCTTCTGGGGGTCTGGGGTGGGGCTGAGGCAGAGACAGAACCCAGAGCTCAGCAGGCAGGAGCAGCCAAGGAGCCCTATTGCTGGCATCCACTTCCCTCAGCAACTGATTCAGGTCAGACCTGTAAGAGCCATAAGGTGGTTGAGCCCCAGCCTCCCTTCAAGAACGGGGAGCCTGAGGCTCGATGGTGCTAGTCCTGGTACTGGAGCTCGGTCTCCTGCCTCACGAGACAGCTTTTTTAATGTTGTCAGGGGCTGAAGCACTATGACCGTGACCTAGTGACCATGGTGTGGTTTCTCTGACCTGCTGGTGCAGCCCTGTCCTGTCCATGCAGCCCCGAGCTTCCCTGGGCCTGCTGGGCGCTGCTCTGGCAGGGGTTTGCCCCCTCTCTGATCTTGAGGAGTGCCCTCACTTCATTTGCTGGTTCTGGGGATGCTGCTTTTCCTTTGTCCCGGGGGCCCTGTCACTGCCTTTCCAGGCTTTATGCCTGTTCTGGACTCAGATGGTGCAGGCCACCCTTTTCCTACTGGGTAGGGCCTTCCAAAGCTTCTACTCATTGTTTGGGACGGAGCACGCCATCCTAACCTCAGGGTCCCCCGAGGCAGGGGGCAGAGCTGGTGCCACACCTGCTGTTGGGAAGGGAGGTTCTGGTAACATCTGCCCTGACTTCTCCCTCTGCCCTCTGTTCCCCAGGCTGCTGCTCCTGCTGCCCCAGGGGCTGTGCCAGGTGTGCCCAGGGCTGCGTCTGCAAGGGGACATCGGACAAGTGCAGCTGCTGTGCCTGATGTCGGGGAGAGCCTGATCCCGATGGAAACGGAGCAACACATACACACACACATACATGTAGTAATACATACTAACCTGTGTTTTAAAAGATTTTTTGATACACCCTTGTTTGTTTTTCAATGTTCCTGTGTCTATGAATATGTGAATTCTAGTAAAAGCTGTTGACACTGTTCTGGCTCTGTTTTCCTCTGCGTGTCTTGGAAATAAGGGACTTTGTGGCCACCACAGCTGGGATTGGGAATGGAACGGGAAGGGCTGAGACTTGGGTTCTGGTCCCAAAGACTAGTCTCTTATTAGCAAACCTAGGGCCTGAAGCAGTCAGGATTCCTCTTGGAGCTTCAGTTTCTGAGCTAAGAAGGAAAGCATTGTCCACATGACTCAAGGTTGGACATGACACAGGGTGGACACAGGTTCCCCTCTATCCTCAGTGTAAGCGTGGACGGCATAGAAACTTCTCAGTGTCTCGTTTTCGTTCCCTGGGGATCCCCTGCCCAACCTGAGTCCTGGGTGATGTGAGGCTCCAAAGGACTCGGGGGGGTGGAATTCCACTCCCCACTGTGTGCCTTCCACACGGGGCTTGTTTCTGCAACACTGTGTTAAATGACTTGTTTTTGTTTTCTATCACAGATTCAAACTTTGGTAAAATAAAACGAATTACTAAGAAAAACTTTAAATGACAGAATATACAAAGCTCACTTTTAGATCAACACATATAATTTCTATAATAGGATGAAGAATTAGAAATGTAGAGATTTAAAAACACTGTACATTGGGTCATAGAATGCGTGCACTGAGCGCTGGACGCAACTCACAAACACCCCTGTGTGTGGACCACACACGCCTTGAGTGGCACGGGCCCCCGACATCCCCACAGGGAACCATCGCTCTTCCCTGCCCAGGGCCACTGAAGGGACTCCTGCTCCCCTGAGAGCTCCTGTGGTGGCTTTGAATCTTAGGAAGTCCCTCCCTGGGTCAGGCTGAGATCGGCCCCTCCTTCCAAATCCAGCCTCGACTCCTTGAAACCCGCAAAGTGACCAGGGTTGCGGAGGGAACTGCCCAGACATTTCTCAGAAAGAATGTACCAGAGCACTGGTTGCAGGTGAAGTGCTTCCTGTCCGCCCCTGCAGGGGGGCTGGATTCCACAGTTTTGAGGGTGTGGCGGTCTTTATTAGGTAGGAGTGAGGGGCTGAGGGATTTGCAACTCATGCCAAGCGTTAGTCCCTCTGGCTCTCTGTGCAGGGAATTGCTCTGAGATGTTCAAACAGAAAGACAAGTCAGGTCCCAGGAGTCAGGACCACGCTTGTCCACAGGTGCCCTGTGTGAAGAGGGGATTTCAGAAGCCAGCCTGTGCCTATTCATGGGTGTTGGCGTCAGACAGTCGTTATCTACAGCCCACTAGGCCACTTCCTGGCCATGAGGGGGTGGGTGTGGGGGTCACATCCACCACCTGTCTCTGCACACAACCACCCAGCTCCAATCCAGCCAGAAACATGAACGCCAGGCTGGGGTTGCACACGGTCTCCGGGACAGGGCTAACCTGAGGACAATGACGCGGGGGCGGGGTGGGGAAGACGCCTAGAGTTCAGGGTCTGAGTTCCAGGAACACTTGGGGGCGGCGTGGCTGCCCCCTTGGGTAAATTGCGAAAGAGGCGGCAGGGAGGCTGGGACACGATGTGCCGCCCGTCACAGAAGCCCCTGCCCGCCACGGGGCACCAAGGGCCGGCGGCCGCACGGCGCACCCGGCCCGACAGCGCTCGGGAATCCTGCACCCGGCCCGGTGCGCACAGCCCCTCCGAGCGCGCTGGGGCCGCGCCCTCGCCAAGGGGCGGGGAGCAAGGACGGGGCGGGGCCTTTGCGCCCGGGCCTCCTGCTCTGCCTATAACGGGAGCACAGGCGCTCCTGGGCTCCACCGCGCCTTCGACTAACTCCAGCGCATCGTCGTTGCTAGCTTGGGACCTCCGGCCTCACGTCAGCTGAAATGGACCCCAACTGCTCCTGCCCCACAGGTAGGGGACGCCGGGCTCTGAGCCTTAGGATGCGCCTTTCCTGGGTGCAGGACAGAGCATCCTGGGGTGGAGAAGGGAGTCTGAGCTGAGGTGGCCTCCTTCAGTTAGCACGTCTTGTGCTTTCACATGGCCAAGCTCCTGAGAGCATTTCCAGGCTCCTGGGCCTCTGTCTCAGAGTTGAGGATCCTGAGGCTCAATGCTGTTCATCTCGAGGTCAGGGAGCTGCTGGACTGGGACTCAGTGCTGTGTCCGGGCCTCAGAGCTGGCAGGACTGGGTGGGAGCTGGGGACATTGCCTCTTCGGGGTGCAGGAGCTAAGGCCCTGGCCCCAGTCTCTCTGGCTGGCTGTGGAGCCTGGGAACCTCCTTGTGGAGCAACATCGGGTGTGGGGGAACCTACTTTCCCAGCAGCGGAAGAGAGAAGGGGGGCTTCTCTCTATGTGCTCCCAGTGGGACAGGAGCTCCCAGTGCTCGCCTGACAGAGGAGGGTGCACGGAGTGTTTTGGGACCCACTGCTGTGTCTGCATCACCCTCACTGCTCCCTGCCTGGCTTTCCTTCCTGGCAGGTGGCTCCTGCACCTGTGCCGGCTCCTGCAAATGCAAAGAGTGCAGATGCACCTCCTGCAAGAAGAGTGAGTGTGGGCCCTTCTTGGGGGTCTGGGCCCTTCTGGTGGTCTGGGAGTGGGGCTGAGGCAGAGGAGGGAGTCCAGAGTTAGGCAAACAGGAGCAGGCCCATGACCCCTCTTCCCTACACCCCTGCCCTCAGCACCTAAGTCAGAATCGGAGCTGCAAGAGCCCTACAGATGGTTGGGTCCCAACCTCTCATTCTAGAATGGGGAAACTGAACCCAGAGAAGTCACCAAATAGTCTCAAGGATGGGACAGACAAGAGCCTTGGTCTCCTGTCTCCTGATGCAGCCTTCGGAACCCTCCAGTGTTCTGAGCACTTTATTGACATGACCTAGTGACCGTGGTGTGGTTCTCTGACCTGCTGGTGCAGCCCTGTCCTGTCCAGGCAGCCCCGAGCTTCCCTGGCCTGCTGTGTGCTGCTCATGCTCGGGTTTGCCCCCTCCTTGTTTTGAGGACTAGACTCACTTCATTTGATGATCTGTGAGTCTGGCTTTCCTTTGCCCCTGGGGGCCCTGTCACTGCCCCTCCAGGCTTTCTGCCCTGTCCTGGTCTCAGATAGGGTCTCAGTGCTGGTACTAGGCCTGCTGCTGGGAAGGGAGGTTCTGGTAACGTTGCTCTGACTTCCTGCTCTGCCCTCTGTTCCCCAGGCTGCTGCCCCTGCTGCCCCGTGGGCTGTGCCAGGTGTGCCCAGGGCTGCATCTGCAAAGGGGCATCAGACAAGTGCAGCTGTTGTGCCTGATGTCGTGGAGAGCCTGCTCCCGATGGAAACAGAGCAAGATGTACAAACCTGCCTTTTTTATTTTTTTCATACACCCCTGACTTGATTGCTACATTCCTTTTTCTATGAAATGTTTGAGTGGCAATAAACTCATTGAGACACCTCTGGTTCTGGTTGCCTCATGGTGTGTTGGGAACATGAGACTTGGTTCTAGTCGGACTGTAGGGGAACCTGCACAGGGAGACATCGGGGCAGTGGGTTTGGAAGTTGGGATGGGGTGCGAGGCTTCCTGCCATCTGGCTTGACCCTGGCTCCCCTTTGCGAGCTGTGGCAGTTTCCTCTGCCACCTTCTGTAGCATTAACTTGTCCCTCCCCTTTTTGTGTATCTGTCCTTGCCTGTATTCACTCCATAGCCACCTATGGTGCATCTACTGTATACACAGGCATTGGGTTTTCAGTGGTGACGTAGCGTGGAGCTTACTGACTGCTGGGGAGAGACAGAATATTACCAAGTAGAAGAAACAAAATGGCTCACATTGCTGTTGGGGTGAGTGGGAGCGAAGAGACCTTGCCCTGGGATCTGAGAGCTGCAGTCCTGTCTGAGGGGACAGTTGAGCAAAGGCCCTGCGGTGGGGAAGAGCTCGGTGTGTTTAGGAAGTAGAAAGTAGACCAGTGTGTCTGGGACAGTGTGTGAGGGGAGTCGTCCAAGTTGGCTTTGGAGAGGGGAGAGCAGAGACCGTGTGGCTCCATCATCTGAGTGACTCCCAACCTGGGGGCACAGCTGCATCACTTGGAGAGGTCGAAAGAGTGCCAGGCCACCATCCCACTTCCTCTTCGCAGCCCCAAGTTTGCTTTCTTAGGTCTAAGATGGGCCGGGCAACTTGTATTTTTAACAAGTACCTAAGGTGGCAGCCCAGTGACGCGGTCACACAGAATCATTTAGCGAAGCGAGATGAGCCCCTGCCAAGAAATGTTTCCACCACAGTGGGTGTTTGAAGCCGACTTCCCCAACATGTGGCTGCCTGTTCTGGCCGGAGGTACCCAGTTCCTGTCTGTCTGTGGGAGGGATGGGCAGGCCCCGCCATGCAGGGTGTGGCCAGTGTCTTCGCAAAGAGCAAATGAGGCCAAGAGGGCGGAGCAAGACTCCTTGGGGGCTCACGCTGTGGAAACCGCACCCCGATGTGGGGGGCTGCTGTCCCAGCGACTGTGTCCTGGTGGGAGAGTCTGGCACGGTCCTTGCGGGGTGTGGGCAGGAGCATGACATGGCACTGCCCTGTTTGGTCTGAAGGCCTGGAACCAAGGTCACAAATGTGCCCAGGTGTTGCTCTTTCACAACTTCTGCTTTGGGGCATCACAGCTGGCAAACCTCTCCAGGAAAGGGTTCCAAATGTTTTCACCGGCCCTGCCAAACACAATCATCCAACTTCCAGCTTTTTATTTTCCAAGTTGTGTGTGAAGTGGCATCCTTGCTCTGTTCCCGAGCCCCATCTCCCAGTGGGGGTTGGGGGGCGGGGCATGGCCATTTATAATAGTTTTTAAAATACATTTGTTATGGCTGCACCAGAATGCCTTGTTTAATTCCAGAAGTTGATACCTGTTGAATTGGTAAAGCTGTGAAACCTTGGTTCTGGAGCCAGACTGCCTGGCTGGAAGCAGAGCTCCACCACTTAGGCAAGCTGTGTGGCCCGTCTGTACCTCATGCATCCCATCTGTAAAGTGGGGGCAATAATAGCGCCGACCCCATAGGGATGTGGTGTGAGCACGTCCCTGGCTCATAAGTGCTCAGTGACTGCGACTTCCCTCCCTCTGGGCCAGGCACGGTGTCTGACAATCAGTAGGTGATCCATAAATGCTCTCTACTTGACTCAATGAGCACTTATTGGACCCTTACTGTGTGCAAATCATTGTGCTGGGCACAGAGAGGGCAGATAATAGATAAATAAGGTCCAGTCGAATCCCTGTTGGATTCAGGGAGCATTTATTTTTCACTTTGAGATGCAGCTGCTGAGCCGGGGCAGAGAGCAACGTGGAGTCTGAACACGTGTGAACGTCTGAGCTGGGGCAGCTGGCGTGGTGTCACACCCCTGCCCCATGCATTGAATGAGACAAACCAATCAGATCCTCTCTCCTGAGAAGTGTGAATTCACAGTGCAGATGGCTGGAACAAGGGGAACTGGAACTCGTCCTGTCGCTGGAACCACGTCACGGGAACAGTGAGGAGTTCACCCTCTGGTTGTCACAAGGACGAAGAGACCAAGCTACTATCTGTTTTCTGTGAGAACTGCTGTGCATCTCAATCTCCTAGGGACCCAGAGAGGCTGAACACCTGCTGAGAAGAGTCCCAATGACACCTCGCCCCCCTTTGAATTCTGAAAGCAATCCCTGTGTCAGTTAGGGCTCCTTGAGTGAAAGCCACAGAAAAAGACTCTCGCTAAATTAGACAAAAAAAAAATTCATTGGAAGGGTATTGCAGACCTATGGAATTGACTGGAAGGATAGAGAACTAGGCTCAGAAAATGGGCAGGAGCTGTGGGGAGCCAGGCGACCGGTCACGGCCCAGGAGCAGCCTGGCTGGGCTGCTGCAGGTGACACAGCGATCACCACTGCTTCTGCTGTCCCCAAACACCCCCATCACTGCCATCTGCCACAGCTCCTGCAAACGAGTCCTAGACTGACCACTGAGCTCTTCACCTCTTGCCCAAAGGAAGTCCAGCTGGCTGGGGTTGTGGAGAAGGAGTGTCTGGCTACCTTCAGATTCCTGGGTGGGAGGCAAGACCCTGCATACCACCCTAAGGGGTTCTCCGGTGCCTGTAGGTTACTGGTGGGAAACCGGTGAGTCATGCGGCAGAGTTCAACCAAGGGATTTTTTAATACAGGAGTTGGAAGGATTAAGAAAAATGAACAAGAGATGTGAAGACTCCCAGGCTTGCAGCAGCGGAGCCCTTACCAGCCTAGGCCTGAAGGGCAAGAGGAAGGGGCTGGCACTGGACCCCAGAGAGGGCAGCTGCAGCTGTAGAAAAGGATACCCCAACAGGAGCTGCGACCTTCCGGTTGACACTCAACCTTGCAAGAACGGAGCCTCCAGAACACATTCTGTGACCTCCTATCCTCTCGCTCCCAACTCCTGCCAGTGCTCCCATTGGCGGAACCCAAGCAGATGCTGTTGAGTCCCATAAAGCTCCACCCATTCCCTGGCCCACTGAGGGGGGTGGAGAGTGGGTCTGGAAAATACCCAGCATACCCCGCAAATAGAGTATGCCCTCCTAATAAGGCCAGGTGTGTCTCTTCCCTGCACCCTGGAATTCAGCTGGACCCTGAACTCAGCTCACAGGGTTGGAGGGAGGGAGGAGGCCAGGAATGACAATGGGAGCCCATGTTGGAGAGGAGGCGTTTGAGGTCTCTCAGAACACCCCATCTGCAGGTGTGCTTAAGCAAGTCTGCTCAGGGCCCCTCGGGGAGAGGGGGCGTGGGGAGAGAAGAAACTGAATCTCTCTCTCTCTCTCACACACACACACACACACACACACACGTGTGCCCATGGACGCTCGCCTGGCCCCACCCATGGCATCACAATACCCACTGAGCCACCCTTTCAGAGCCATCCCTGAGGCCGCTCCTGGCTGGCTGAAGGCCCACACCCACCTCCCGCCCAGGGGTAAAGCCGTGAATTCAGCAAGGCTTCCCCCCCACCACCACCCCATCCGCCCACAGCCCACCGCCAGGCCTTCTTGGCCCCTTCCCTCCTCCGTGGCCGCCTTTCTCCCTTGCTCTCAGACTCTTCTATTTAGCAGGGAGGGGGAGGGAGGGGTATGTTGTCAAGGTTGGTTGGGTTTCTCCTCAAGGTCAGCAGTAGGAGCTCTCATGGCGCAGAGATCCCTCCTCTGGGCCTCTGCCTCTGCCTAGACAGACTGGGTGATTCTCGAGCTCTCAAGGGAGGAGGCTAAGGCAAGGCCAGGGAGCTGGTGTTGTCATCGAGGCTTGGGCGATATGCAGGACCCTGTGGTCTAACCCCAGGTTGCCTTGCAAAGCAAGGGTGGGGTCTGGGCCCCATCGCCGACCACCCCGGCCTGCCTGATTCATCCTCGCCGTCACTAGGAGTCGGGGACCACCATATGCAGACCTCCTGAACTCTGCTCTGTCGCCAAGACTCCTCCCCCCGCACCCTCACAGCAAAGCTGAGCCAGACCCTCCAGCAGCAGTTCAGCAATCCTGGGTCACCCCAGCCAGGAGGATGTGCCAGCTTCACGAGCTCCTTCAGAGACATGGCAACACTTCACCCAGAGAAGTGACTCCCTGGAGGCCGATTCGGGCACTGATCAAGTTCAGCTCTCTCACGTCCACCCCAACTTCCTTTGGGGAACTCCCTCTGCCCCAACTGTGTGGAGCCTCTGAGGGAGGGGAGATCCGGGGGTCCAGCTAAAAAAGCCAGCAGTCCAGACCCTGACTCTCCAGGAAGCCTCAGTCAATCAGATGTTCCCCTCTGGAACTCAGACGTGGCCTAGAATAAGTTCCAAGGACGTTCATCACAGGCACGAGCCCCAACCAGGATTCTTTGGGCTCCAAGACCAGGCCTGTGGATCCTGTGTCCCAACCCAACAGCGTTTCCTGGCTCCTGCCTCGTTCTAAGCCCTGTCTCACAGCCCCCCACCTTCTATCCTTCTAGCAAATGACCCTCACTTTAATTCTGTCGTTTATACCCAAGGAGTCTGGAGGAGATGTTGGTGGGCAAGGGGGCTTCCTTGGTGGCACCACAGGACCACCCACTGAGCCCAAGATTGGCCTCACCAGACCCCCGGGGCCTGAGACCCTGAGGGCAGAAGGGGACAGGGACGGGTGCCTGGATCTCCCCGGCCGCCCTGGGCCACGTTCCTTCTTGCCTGGGCCTGTGTGACATGCCCATGGGTGAGGTCGTCTGTGGGCAGGGAGGTGCTTCCTGCCCTCGGGGCCTGTCATTCTCAGGCCTGGGAAACTGACTTTCCTGCCAGGGATTCCAAGTTTGTGCTAGTCGAATGGGGCTCCTCGTAGCCCTGCGGGGCACAAGGTGCTGGGTCCCTGGTACAGATGAAAAAGCCGAGGCAAAATCTCCAAAGGCAAGCTCCCCTGGGGGAAAATGGCCAAAGAGAGCACGTGTGCAGGGCCCTTGGCACCCCGACTCTCCTTACGGCAC